CTAAATTTAAAAAAAATAAATAAATAACAAACAAGAAGCAGTTCTGTCCACTTCTCTAGCATTTCCTTTGTTTCATTCACATTTCTAACCTCAAGTTTTTTAAAATCATCTTAAACAAATTTTAACTACTAAATTGTATCACGTGAGAATTTATATTGTAAAAAAAAATAAAACAGGAATTTATGTATTAGTCCATTGTACAAAAATATATTGTGAACTCATTATTTTTCTAAGTAATGGATACAGAAAGGATATAAAACATAATGTCCTCAAAGGACTCATACACTATCTGGATTAATAGTGAACCAGAGACTCAGAATAATTTAGGAATACGGGGCAATTAACCCAGGGTCATTTAGAGTTGACTTCCTGGAAAAGGACGTATATGGGTATGTCTTGAGTGACTAATGGAAAAATATTTATCCATAAGAAAAAGTATAGCAATCACAGACTATACAGAACAGATGGTTGAGTTTTTCTAGAGGATTAGTATGGGCTTGGATGGAGAGATCAGAGGAGAAGACAGGAACAAAAGAAAGCTAATGGCACAACAAAAGTCAAGAGAAAAGAGCTTTGTTAACAGCTGCACAGCTTCTCTTTAGATAATAAAAACAATTAAAGTAAATGTCATGGATTGTTGTTAGGTACCATTGAATAGCATATGACTCATAGTGACCCTATGAACAGCAAATTTGAAACCTTTCCTGTCCTGTGCCATCCACATCATCTCTGATACACTTAAGCTCATTGCTGAAGTCAACTGGGTCAATCCATCTTGTTGAGGTTCTTCCTCTCTCTCTCTTACCCTCCACCTTTCCAAGCATGGTGTTCCTCTTCAGGAAATAACCTCTTCTAGCATGAATACTTTTGGACAAAATTTAATTTCTTTCAGAAACCTATTTGGGTAGATGAAAGGATCAATTGATTGTCTGAGATCTTCTCTGCCAGTGATGTCAATTATACTAGTTAATCTTCAAAACAACCTTAAGAAGTCAACACTACTATCATCTCTATTATATATTTGGAGAAAGAACAAAAGAAAGTCAACTACTTTAACAAAGTCACAAAGCTAATAGGATTCATTGCCAGGATTCAAACTCAATTTGAAAGATAGAAGAGTAAAATCTAAAATGTAAGAAATTGCTTTCCTTGTGTAGTGAATTTATGGGAGGATAACAACTTGATGTCTTAAAGATTTCATTATGCTTTAAACATTTTTTGCATTCCTTTTTATAAAGTAATAAAATTCTATTACTTTGTTACAAAATAGAACAAAATACATAATTTACTGGTTGTCTATATTAAGAACACAAAATAGAACAAAATATGCAACTTATTAACTGTCCCTATTAAGAGTTACAAATAGATTAATCAGAAAATCCTGTTAGCTACCCTAGTCTTTGCCAGTTATACCATCTTTAATTTTATGCATTGTTTAGGGTGCTAACATTGGAGAAAACTGACCTGCTAATGAAATGTGAGCTTCTTTCACCACTTGAAATAATGGGTTCTTTATGAAACATGAAACATTTCCTTTGGAACTTTCATCCACCATAATAGAAGTTTCCACATAAAATAGACCATTTTGTTCTTCTACCGTTGTCTCAGAGGCTGACATCAAATATTGTCCTTCCATATCTCTCCATAGTACCTCAGGCTTTGGGTACCATCCCGTGGATGTGCAGGTCAGCTTAAATCCCCCGGCTTTATTATGCTCAATGTGAATATATGGTCCTGTACCTGAGCCTGGGAAAGTGAGAGGTGACAAAAGTACACTTAATCAAGTACATGTCCATTTCACACAGGTTAATGCGTGTGTGCTCATTAGTTAGTCTCTAGGAATCCATATTTATTCCCATTTCTAAATAAATAAGTTGACTCAGCAGAGTGTGAAAATTATTGAACAATATCTCCAATACCCCACACAAGCAAAATCCTGCTGAAAGATTATTCAAAAATGACTGGAACTACCAGAAATACAAGCTGGGTTTAGAAGAAGTAGTGCCACTAGAGATAGTATAGCCAATGTCAGATGGATCTTGTCCAAAGGGAGAGTAGCACAGGAATCTGTGTGTAATTGACTATGCAAAGATATTTGACTATGTGGATCACAACAAATTGTGACTAACATTGAGAAGAATGGGAATCCCAGAACACCTGATTGTGTCCATGTGAAACCTATACTTGAACCTGGAAGCAGTCCTCAGAACAGAGCAAGAAAACACTGCATGGTTCAAAATCAGGAAAGGAGTATGTCAGGGATTCATCCTGTCTCCACACCTTTTCAATATGTATGTAGAACAGATCATTTAGGAGGCTGGGCTTTATGAGGAGAAATGTGGTATGAAGATTGGAGGAAGATTTGCCAACAATCTATGTTATGCAGATGACACAACCTGACTTGCTGACTATGAGGGGAACCTGAAGCAATGCTCCAGAAGGTGAAGGACTGTAGTCTTCAATGTGGATTAAAGCTCAACATCAAGAAAACAAAGATTTTTACCACTGGGCCAATTAGAAACAGCATGATAGATAGAGAAAAGATTGAGTTTGTTAACAAGTACAGCTGGCTTGGCTCAACAATGAACATTCTTGACAACCAGCAGTCAAGAACTCAAAAGACAAATTGCACAGCAGAAAAATCTGCTGTCAGGGACCTTTTCAGAGTACTAAGAAGCAACGATGTCAGTCTATAGACTAAGGTGCACCTGATCCAGCCACGGTATTCACAATTACTTGCATTCAAGAGCTGGACAATAAGCTCGGGGTCAGGGGGAGGGAGAAAGATGAAAGAAGAATTGATGCCTTTGAGTTGTGGTGCTGGAGAAGAGTACTGAGCATACCAAAGACAGTCAAGAGAACAAACAAGTCTGTCTTGGAGAGGGTGAAACCAAGTTTCTCCTAGTAGGCTATGATTTTGAAACTCTGTCTCACATACTGTGGGCATGTGGCCAGGAGGGACCAGTCTTGGAAAAAGACATCATACTTGCAAGGCTGGAGGACAGTGCAGGAGAGAGAAAGACCCCAAAGGAGATGGATTTACACAGTTACTGGAGTAATGGGGTTAGGTGTGTCAGTGAGTGAGACTGGCTCAAGACAGGGCCGGGCTCAGAACTTTTGTACATGGGGTCACTATGAGCCAGTCACAGACAACTCAGTAGCATGTAACAACAACATGAATCTCACCTCTTTGTAAAAATATGGATATGTTTTTTTTAAAAAAGACAAACTGACCACATAGAACTATAATGTTGTTGTTGTGGACCTTCAAGTCAGAACCAACCCATAGCTGACCCTCCAGCAGGTTTTCAGAGACAGTTAATCACACAGGAGGAGATTGTTCATCCTTCTCCCATGGAACGGCTGGCTAATTCCAACTGCATGCCTTTAGGATCGCAGCACAGGTTCTTACCACTAGGCCACCAGAGCTCCCTTATCTTAATATTAGTCAAATAAATTTGCTATATACACATTTAACAAAGCATCCAAACATCAAATATATTCACATCAATTACTTTCTATTTACTTTCTTCCCTTTGACATGTTTCTCATCATTTTTTCAGGTAATTTCTAACACTGATAGCAGAACACACTGAATAAAATTGTTGTCTTTGGACTTAAGGTCATATTTTAGTAGACATTTTTAAAAATGAAGTACCAAATTATCTGATATGTTAAATTCCAGCACAAGTTTTATTTCCCACTCCACAGCATTTAAAAAACAAGGTTAAGTTGAGGCTGCTTTGGACTTAAAAGTAAATTAAACTCTTCTCAAGATTATATAAGTTGCTATGCCTCCCTGTAAATAAAGTATATTCAGTGTAAGCAATTATTGACTCTGGATCAAACTGTACTCCAGAGAGAGAGAGAGGGAAATGAATTAATCACAGAAAAACCTGACAGCACCTATTTCTACACTATCGTGGGTATGGGCAACCATACAAGTGAACCCATATTAGGAACAGTAACACAAGATCCTTAATTTGGAGTTAATGAAAGGGTGAGGCCACTCCATTCCTTACCTCCCTGGTCTTCCTCGTAGTAAGAGATCCATATTCCTATTTCTCAAAAAGTGATCCAACAGAATGAGGAATTTATCAAGCAGTATCATTAAGATCACATGCAAGTAAAATAGTGCTCAAAATTATTTTAAAATTATTAGAACAGTATATCAAAAGCAAACTGCCAGAAATTCAAGTTGTATCCAGAAGAGATTATGGCACAAGGGATATCATTGCTGATGTCAGATGTATCTTATCTTAAAACAGAAAGTACCAGAAAGATGTTTACCTGTGTTTTCTTTACTATGAAAAGGCATTTGACTGTGTAGTTCATAACGAATAATTGGCTAACATTAAGAAGAATGAGAATTTCAGGACACTTAATTGTACTCATGTGAAACCTTTACAAAAATCAAGAAGCAGCCTTCAATCCATGAATGTCAACAAACCCTGGTGGAATTCTGGGAGGATGGGCATTTCCTGATTTGAGATCCACCAGAATTCCACTGGCTTTCTAGACAGTCAGAGATTCAAAGCAAGATAAGAGATCCAACCCAAACTAGCATCTGGAAGTCCTGGCCTTTGCACATAGAAAGAGTCTGGAATCACTTTTGCCTTCTCAAATCAGGTTATGCCCAGACTCCCAAAATTCCACCGGCTTTGTTGACAGTCAGGGATTCAAAACAAGACAAGAGATCCAACTAAAACTAGTATTGAGAACTCCTGAACTTTACACAAAAGAAGAGTCTGGATTCACCCTTGATGTGACCCTTGGGCCAAATAAGCAACACCAATATACCAAATCTAGAGGAGACATCACCTTCACCTGGAAATTACCTTACTATGGCAGCCATGTGCTACAAATAGAAGAGCAGAGATGCTAAGTCACAGGACAATGTGCTGGAGCAGAAGCTCTGGGGCAAGGACCTTTCCCCAATACTGCCTCAGACAGAAATCCTTCCCTAAATCTGTTACACGGGATTGGGCTTAGAACCTCCTACAATCAAGAGAGACTGGCAACAGCATGAGAGAACAGCAGGAGCACAAGGCAAGAGGCATCACAGAAATCACTTTAGACCTGAGCCATCATATCAAGGGTTAGCTAGGGTGAGGGAGATGCTGGACAGAGTAAGCAGGAATGGAAAAGGATGCTATGGATCAGAGAAAGGGATGGGACAAGAAACTTATGTGCCAAAAGGCAGGGCTTGGGGGAGATGGACATTGAATCCATTGATTAATTCTGTGGCGGGGATGTGTTGTTCATCTACTTCTTTCAGTAAAATGCTTGTCTGTCAGATATTGTTCTAAAGCTGAGCATGCAAATTAAGACAGAGTATGAAGAAAGATTTGCCATCCACTTCCAAACTAACAGGGCTTCAAAAACCCTATTACTATAGAAAACATCTATAGATTTATAGTAGACAATCAGATATGACACCTGAGGCTAAGCCCTCAAATTTGGAAATAAAGAGGAGGAACAGCTGTAAATAGACATTAATGATGAGGAATTGTGGGATGTGAGAAACATGAATGTAGGAAAATTGGACATTGTTAAGAAAGAAATCAAATGCATAAATATTGACATACTAGTATTGGTGAAATGAGATGGATTAGAGTGGGACATTTGGAATCGGTTATTAATATGATCTACCATACCAGAGATGAAAAGGTGAGGAAAAATGAAGTTGCTTTTGTAGTTAAAAAGGTCATTTCTAGATCTACCTTGAAATATTACATTGTGAGCAACAGGGTAATATACATATATATACAAGGAAGTCTGGTGAATATCACTATCATTCAAATATATGCACCAACAACCAGGGCCAAAGAGGAAAAATGGATTATTTCTACGAACTTTTTAAACATGCAATCAAGATGCATTAATAATGGGAGGTTTTTAAATTTTTTTTATTATATGGGTGGCTGATAACAGGGTAGAAGGATCAGTAGTTGGAGAACACAGACTTGGCGACAGAAATGAGGCTGGAGATAGAATAAAAGAATTTTGTACAATTTAATAATTGCAAATACCCTTTAAAAGAATCAAACGTTAACTATACACATGGATTTGACCTGATGTTATGCATAGCAATCAGATTGATTATAACTGTGGGACGTATCATTGGAGAAGCTTAAAATCAGCTATGGAAACTAGGCCAGGTGCTGATTGTGGA